GCATTTCAAAAATGATCAATTAGCAATTCCTTTTTTCAACCTAATATAATTAGTCCTGACATTTTTAAAAACTTTAGGTCTGAAATGGAATCATGGAACTAAATACTTACAATAACATCAAGCAGACCCATGGTTTTAAAATGCCTATTTTATATATTTATATATCATAATTCTGAACAATCAAGATGATGACAGAACCTGGAGCCAGGGAACTTCCCTTATTTGCCATTAGTCAAGAACGGCTTCACGGAAGTCATCAACTTCTCAGTGAAGGAGAAGTGAGAACTTGAGAAAGATGAGTGCTTGAAAGAAATGGAGGTGAATAATTCTGCCACAGAGGAGCAGAACGAGGAGCTAAGTTCTTAGCTGGCTATCTGCTCATGATCTAACTGGCCCAATGGCACTCTGGCGGGCACCTAGGTTGTTAGCACAACGAAGTCTGATAGTTGGTAAAAATTCTAGGATTTTAGTCGTCTCAGCCACTAGGGGGCCGGCAACAAATCTAGTACAATGATGGGCTTACATTTCAAGGAGTCAATTACTTGTACCCACTGGACTGAAATTAAGACAGATGAAGCTTTATAAATAATAATACCCTCATTTGTCATGATTTTCTGCTTTTGGGAAAGGAACCATTTTAACCTGTTGATAGAAAAGACACTTCTCTTCTAGCAATAATCCAGTAGGGAGAAGATGATGCACCTTTTTTCAGTAAAGCAGGTGCTTTACTTTGTGCCTTGTTTTAGGCTAGTTCCAATATTTTCAGTTACCTTCTGCCCCAAGTTAACGATGTATAACCTGTCTGTCTCTTTGCTTATTCGTGTATTTATTTTTTGAGCCTCTATTGTGTGCCAGAACAACAAGAGGATGTTTCTACCCTGCTTATCAAACAACTATACTACACTGGTACACAAGTCAGTTACCACATCATTGGGTAAGAGCTAGGAGGGGACACTGAGTGCTGTGGGCAGCATTCAGTGAAGCACAGGAAGCTTTGGGCCATCTCTTTACTAGTGTCCTTCGGGCATGTTTAGCAAAGGCTCTGGATGAGGAAACCAACTCACCAGTCCGCTATTGTGGCCCATGATGGTTTCCCAGAGTGAGTCGTCAGTCAAGACTTTCTTGTCTTGAATGTCCATGAGCTGACTGACACTGCGGTGGAGAGAGCCTTGGGAGTAGGTTTGGCTAATTTGGCTTTGACTTGGGATTCGCAGCACAGACACACTCCGATTGCTCCGAATACTCCCAGGTGTCCCAGACCGGGGAATCTTGGTATCGGCTAATCCCTGAAAAGGTAGTTGTTGTTGGTAATTCCCATGTAAAGACAGTGGGGCTTGAAATCTGACAGAGAACAGTGTCTCACACGTTGTCAATGAAGGAAATAACTGTCTCTAGACCCTTCTACCGACCTTAGCGGACAGCCCCACCCCCCCACATGCAGACTTTTCAGCTGAGTGGAGCCATTTCAGCCCCTCCCGGCAGCTTTGCACAGAAGCAAAGAACAGACCCTTGATCCCTACTAACAGCATTTGTGGAGCCTGAGGGAAGGCTTACCCAACCCAGCTCCACCCAGACTCACTCCTGGACCTGCCCCCACTGAGGTGAAGAATAAGAACACACCTGGAAGTCCCAGGGCCCCACCCACCACCCGAGGCACAAGAGGGCCTCTCCAGAGGAACAAGAGTTGGTTACAGGACCCCAAAATAGCTCCTCCTGTTTTTGCAGCTAGCTCCTCCCAGCGAGTGCCACCTACTGACAGGGAGGTCATTCTGCACACCTTTTACTGCATCTACCAACTCATGATAAAGGGTGTGGTAGAATCTCACCCACAAACACCACCTACTGGCTCAGAGACTAAACAGGG